CTCATCTGCAGACCTCCTTGCACAAGTCGCTGTGGCAGCGCTTCCGCATGGCTCACGCAGGAATGAATGAATGGCTGGGCGCTGCCTCTTGATTTATACTTCAGAAATTCGTTGGTCTGCCTTTTGCCATCGGCCCTTGGTGCTCACAGTCCCCCTGTGGTACTTACTGGACTGGACTGGGACTCTCTAGACCCTTCTCCTGACTGTAGGCAGTCGTACCGTCGACTCAGTGCAGTTGCACTGAGGTCCTACCTGTTGACCTTGCCACTTGTCTTCGTCTGAAAACGTGGGCCTACCTTAGACTCACCACTTGACCACTTGCCGACCTTCTAGAAGGACTAAAGCTAGGCCTCTGGACTCTACTTGGACTCCTACCTTACAGGTCTACAGTTCGAATCTCCCTACAGCCTACAACCTACGGCGACCTACTTACCACTGGCTATCGTGCAGGTCACGGGTTCAACTCAAGGGAACTGTGCAGATACTGTACACAGGTAAGCTGAGGTCAAAGGATCGACCCCTGGGATCTGCATCGGCTACTGCCAAAGGTGAAAACTGTTTCATGGGGGCGTAGGAGGCCCTTGCACCATTCTATTTCAGTGATGGACCTGATGGTTGAAGGCACAACCTCCCCCAAATGTCACTTGCATGCCTAAAAAACTGATCTAGGCCGTCAATATTTGACCCCCTGGACCACTTGCTGTATTCGATGGAGCTTTCAGTCTAGATACGGCCATAATTACGGGGCGTTCTATTCTGTCCAAGAAGGTAGCCTGCTCCTCCTCTATGACTGAGCCAAACAAAAACCTAGACTGACAGTGACCGAATCCGACGAAAAGCTAATTGACTGTCGCATGCAGAATGCACTGTGCCTTCTGTCCCGCATAGCCAACGTCATCATGCACCCAGCTGTTAATTAAGTCAGGACTTCTTTGTACTCTTATAAATACCGCACACCATCTAATTGTCTTCTTGATTTAGCAAATATTACCAAATAAGCACACATACAACTTGCCTAGCAGTGATTCTGAGCACGTGTGTTTAGGGCATCACACCCTGCCATGCACGGACGGCCTCGAACCGCACCCTCCGTCACAGGAACGAAGTATCGTAACCACTACAACCCTTGGAGGTGTTATAAAAACTGGATCCATTCCGGTCGTGAGCCCACCTCCAGGGCTGCAGCGTCCTTGTACTCAACACCACACACCCAACGCACACCACACCACCGACTTGACAATCACGCACACTCCGTCGAACAACACGTAGCCCACCACCGCTACCAAACCCGATCACGCACACAGGGCCAACTTGCCCGCGGGTTCACGGGCGCCTCACAGTGATTCTGAGCACGTGTGTTTAGGGCATCACACCCTGCCGTGCAGTGGCCACCAGGTTTCATCCCAAAAGAAGGAAAAAAAAAACAGCCCAAAAAAAAAGCACGCATACAACTTTGCCTCTCAAAACTGCAAAAGGGAGTGGCAATGCTCCAAATCTAGGATCTCTAATTGTCAAGAAGTCCAGAAAAAAAATGGGCATCTTAAATAGAACTTCTAAAGACTGGAACAGATTAAAATTTCCAACTTTGAACTTTTAAGTTTTAACCAAAAAAAAAGCATCCGAGATGGAAGAACTTGTACTAACTGAAATGAGAGTACCAGCAAATGCCATCAATCAAATTCAATCTTAGAACATGACACACACTTAACAAAAGGGCTGATGCTTTTCTATTCGGGAAAAAAAAAAAAGGAAGATTCAAAATTGGGGGCTTTTGACAATGCTGCTCACATATTCAGCTAAATTTCAAAATAAATAGAAAATGGTTTGTTTTTAGAGTCGCCTTTCGAAAATTGCGCCTTGCATGGCAGATGTTTTCCCAAAAATGAGGACAAAGAGCGTGTGTCTTTATGGCGCCTTTGGGCGGATTTTGGAATGGAGATGGAGAAGAAAGTTTAAGGGTGAAAGGAGAGAGAGATGGTTTTGGTCAGTTGAAGCGAAAGAACCGCAATTTCGTCAAAATGGGCTTTTTTTTTTGTGTTCGAAGGAAATCGAAACCGAGTAATTTGACTGAAAACAGGTCCAAAGTTTTGGTTCCTGAGGCTGAGAGTCCGGCATTCTTAAAACGTCTGACCCCCTGGATGTATCTGGTCTTGAGCTAATTCCATCTACATCCAGGGGGTCCCGCGTTTTAAGAACGCCGGACCCTCAGGAACTTCAATTTTTGGACCTGTTTTCAGCCAAATTACTCGGTTTCAATTTCGTTAAAAAAAAAAAAAAATCCATTTTGACGAAATGCCAGTTGACGAAAACCTCAAAGGATTTGATTAAACAAACGGAAGTGACGACTCACAGACAAATGGGTCAACGTGCAAGGATGGAATCTAACTCTGTGTGTCAAATGATTCAAATCTTTGAAACCAGAAGCAAAATAAGAACAGCCTGGTAGTTTGCCAGATTGGCAGATTGTAGCAGAGAGACTCGGAGAAAGAGAAGAGTTGAATCAACTTGAATGTGAAAGAAAGTGGGAAGGATTTTGTTTGTTTGTTTGTTTGTTTGTTTGTTTGTTTGTTTTAGACAAGCACTCACAAGGCCCATACATATATATATATATATATATATATTGAAGGACGACTGCCTTGAGATATTATCATTGAGCTGACCGGACCCAAGCAATTCATTGGTGGTTGATATTACTCATCGAGTTCCATCATCTGGATTCGAACACAGGTCTGTATTTCAACAGTTCATGGGTGTACCTACTGAGCTAGGCTCTTGGGTAGCCCATATATTTTTGGGGGCAGCAGCCCGGTTCCTAATCACCGGCAAGCATCAAGAAACAGTCCGCAACATACAGAAAGGAAAAACAGGACGGTGAGGAGAAGAAGAGTGGAGTAAGGAAAGGGGCAGGGAAGGGAAGAATAGAAGAGGGAAAGAGCTGACTAGTAGAAGGAGCAGTGGAGCACCCTTACGCCTGTGGAGGTAGACACGGCTTAAGGGGGACTGGCATGCAGCACTTGACCTTGGACCCAGTCCCCACTTAACAGGGATGTCATCCTGGGCATGAAACTCCCGTGAGGTACCCAGATACACAGGATTGTAGCCCCGAGGGAAGCCAGGCAATGGCAGGCATGGGGCAGCATGTGTCACCCAACAGAGAAACCTTGCGAAATTACAGCCAAACCTCTTCCCTAAATAAGGAATTTCACAAAGTGAAAACTCCACATCATTATCACACAGATGTGCAGCAGCTGCGCAA